CACACACACATTCTTTTAAAATGTACATGAAACATTTTCTAGGATAGACCACATGATAGGACACAAAACAAGTCTCAGTAAATTTAAAAAGGTTCAAATCAGATCAAGCATCTTTTCTGACCATAAGGCTATGAACCTAGAAAGCAATTACAAGAAAAATCTGAAAAACACACAAAGACATGGAGGTAAATAACATGTTCTTAAACACTGAGTGAGTTAATGAAATCAAAGAAGAAATCAAAAGATACTTTGAAACAAATGAAAATGAGAATACAATAATCCAGTATTTATGGGAAACAGTGAAAAAAGCCCAAAGTGAGTAGAAGGAAGGAAATGATAAAGATCCAAGCACGAATAAAAAAATAGTCTAAAAAATATACAAAAGATCAATAAAACCAAGAGAAGGTTCGTTGGAAAGATAAACAAGATTGACAAGCCTTTTTGTTGTTGTTGTTGTTAATCCTCACCTAAGGGTATTTTTTCAAGTAAAAAAAGAATAGCCCTAACCGGTTTGGCTCAGTGGATAGAGCGTCAGCCTGTGGACTCAAGGGTCCCAGGTTCGATTCCGGTCAAGGGCATGTACCTTGGTTGCGGGCAAATCCCCAGTAGTGAGTGTGCAGGAGGCAGCTGATCGATGTTTCTCTCTCATTGATGTTTCTAACTCTCTATCCCTCTCCCTTCCTCTCTGTAAAAAATCAATAAAATATATTTTTTAAAAAAGAATAGTTTAAGGGACCATTGGGAAAACAAGAAGCATAACAACATCCGCAAGAAGAAGAGAGCAAGAGACTGAGAATCTATTTTAGAGGAAGTGCAAGGGAGGGAGGGAAAGAGAGACACATCGATTGGTTTCCTCCCGCACAAGTCCTGGCTGCTCCCAGGGATCAAACCTGCAACACAGGTACATGTCCTTGACCGGGAATCAAACCAGTGACCCTTTGGTCCACAAGCCAATACTCTAAACACTGAGCCAACCTGGCCAGGGCTTGATCGACAAGCCTTTAACCAGACTTACCGAGGAAAAAAGAGAGGACCCCAAAAATCAGAAATGAAAGAAAAGTAACAACTGACACCAAAGAAATACAAAGGGCCCTGACCAGGTAGTTAAATTAGTTGGGAGTGTTGTCCCAGTGTACCAAGTTGTGGATTTGATCCATGGTCAGGGCAAGAATTAACCAATGAATGTATAGTTGGATGTAGCAATAATGTTTCTCTCCCTTTTATCTCTTTAGAATAATTTTTTTAAAAATACAAAGGATTGTAAGAAAATCTGAACAACTGTATGCCAACAATTGAACAATCTGGACAAAAGGAAAAACCTCCTAGGAAAATACAATTTTCCAACACCGAATAAGAAAGAATCGGAGAATCTGAATAGACAGTAATTGAAGCAGTAACCTAAAACGCCCAATACAAGTCCTGAACTGGATGGCTTCACAGGTAAATTTTTCCAAACATTCAGAAAAGAAGTAACATCTATCCTTCTCCAACTATTACAATAATTCAAGAGGAGGCAAGACTTCCAAGCTTATTTTACGAGGCCAGCATCATCGGGATTCCAAAACCATATAAAGGCACTACAAGGAAAGAATTATAGGCCAATATCCCTGATGAACATAGATATTAAAATCCTCAACAAAATTTTAGCAAACTGGTTCCAGTAAAACATTAAAAAGATCATACACCATGATCAAATAGGATTTATTCTGGGGATGCAAGGTTGGTACAATATCTGTAAATCAATAAGCATGATAGACCACATAAATAAGATGAAGAATAAAAACCTAATTATATCAATAGATGCAGAAAAATATTTGATAAAATCCAGCACCTATTTATGATAAAAACTCTCAGCAAAGTGGAAGTAGAGGGAACATACTGCAACATAATAAAGGCCGTATGTGACCAACCCATAACCAACATCATATTCAGTGGGCAAAAACTACAACTGGCTCCCTTAAGATCAGGAAAAAGACAGGGATGTCTGCTTTCACCACTCTAATTCAATATAGTGCTGGAAGTCTTAACTACAACAATCAAATAAGAAGAAGAAATAAAAGAAAACCAAATTGGAAATAAGTAAAACTGCCATTATTTGCAGATAACATGATACTGTATATAGAAAACCCTAAAGATTCCACCAAAAAACTAGAACTGATAAAAGAATTTAGTAAAGCAGGGGAATACAAAATAAATACCCAGAAATGAGTTTCATTTTTACACCAATAATATCAGACAGGGAAACTAAGAAAACAATTCCATTCACAATTGCTTCAAAAAGAATAAAATACCTGGTTATAAATTTAACCAAGGATGTAAAAGACTTGTACTTGCAAAATTATTAGAAGACAATGAAGAAAGAAATGAAAGATACAAGTAAGTGGAAGCATATACCATGTTCATGGAAGGGAAATATTAACATCATTAAAATGTCCATACTACCTATCCAAAGCAATCTATAGATTCAGCTATGAAGATACCAGTGGCTTATCTTGGTATTTCACAGAACTAGAACTAAAATTTATATGGAAACACAAAAGACCTGAATAGTCACAGCAATGTTGAGAAAAAAGAACAAAGTTGGAGGAATAATGCTACCTGATGTCAAACTATACTACAAAGCCATAGTAATCATAACAACATGGTACTGGCAAAAAATAGACATATCAGTAGAACAGAATAGAGAGCCCAGAAGCAAACCCAAGCCTTTATTCTTAATTAATATTTGACATAGGAGGCAAATAATACAATGGGTAAAGATAATGTATTCAATAATTAGTGTTGGGATAATTTGTTCAAAAAAGTAAAACTAGACTACCTTCTTATACCATACACAAGAATAAACTCAAAATGGATTAAAGACTTAAATGTTAGACTCGAAATCATAAAACTCCTAGAAGGAAACAGGCAATAAAATCTCGGACATTTCTTGTAGCAATCTCGAGCAAGGGAAACAAAGGAAAAAATTAAGGGGACAACATCAAACTAAAAAGTTTTTGTATAGCAAAGTAAACCAACAAAATGAAAAGCCAGCCCACTGGATGGGAGAACATATTTGCCAATTTACATGTGATAAAGGATTAATATCCAAAATATAAAACTCAATACCAAAAAAAACCCCAAGCCCTCCAATTAAAAAAATGTGCAAAGGACCTGAATAGACGCTTCTCTGGAGAGGACATACAAATGGCCAAACAGGCATATGAAAAGATGCTCAATGGCACTAATCTGTAATATAAATTAAAACTACAATGAAATATCACCTGATGTCTGTCAGAATGACTATCATCAATAAATCAACAAGTGTTGGTGTGGATGTGGAGAAAATGGAACCCTGGTGCACTGTTGGTGGGAATGCATATTGGTATAACCATTGTGGAAAGCAGTATGGAGTTACCTCAAAAAAAAAAAAAGGAAGTTCCTTATGACCCACTGATTCCACTTCTGGGAATTTATCCAAAGAAACCAGAAACACTAATTCGAAAGAATATATGCACTCCTGTGTTCATTCAGCATTATTTACATAGCCAAGATTTGGAAGCAACCGGTTTCCATCAGTAGATAAGTGGATAAAAAAGGTGTGATACATTTACACAATAGAATACTACTTGGCTGTTAAAAAACAAATAAATAAATAAAGAAGGAAACCTTACCCTTAGTGGCAGCATGAACGGACCTGGAGAGCATTATACTAAGTGAAATAGGCCAGTGAGAGACAACAAGTACTGTATGATTTCACTTTTATGTGGAATCTAATGAACATAATGAGCTAACAAGCAAAATAGTGACAGACTCATAAAGAGCAGTCTGACAGCTGTTGGGATGGGGGCTGCAGGGAAAGTAGAAGGATTGAGCAAAAAAAGAGAAAAAAAGGAAAAACTCATGGACACAGACATTTGTGATGATTGCCCAGCAGAGGAGGGATGGAGGGACATGGAGGAGTGTACAGGGGATACATGGTGATGGATGGATACCTGACTTGGGGAGGTGAACACAATACAATGTACAGTTGTGTTGTAGAAGTGTGCACCTGAAACCTGTATAATTTTGTTAACCAGTGTCACTGCAATACATTCAATTAAAAAAAAAAAAAGGAATGCCTCTTGGAGGACTGAAATGTCACCATTAGTTCAGACCTCCATGCTGCCTTAGAAGACAAGATTGGCAGATACAAGTGGAATGTGCAAGCCAGAAAAAAAGAACCAGGACGCTCTGATTCATAGTGATCCATCTGTGGTGATGCTCTGGCAGGCCTGCAGAGCAGGCCTCTGTTGGGAATCCCCACACTTGGGGATCTGGCCTGTCCCCTGAGGGCAGAGGGACAGCTCCCTCTTGCTGGGCTGGCTGGCTGCACTTTGGGAGCAGCATCATACTTAATCTCTTGTGGCTGTGTAATGTGAGTCAGCTCCCACACACTCTTCTCCAGGAAAGAGGCCACCAGGCCTGCTTTAGGTGGCAGCACTAAGGGACTGAGACCCAGAGCTCAGGTGAGTGGATTTCCTGCTACCAGCTCTTGTTTGCTAGTTCCAGGAGCATAGCTCCTTGCCCCAGCTCCCTCCTGGATTTTTCAGAAGTATGATTTTAAAGGAAGTGGTCAAGTCCCATAGTATTTTCTGGAGTGTCAGGCCCTCACCTCCCAGTCCTCTATGGAGCTCTGCCCCTGAGTAATCTTGTTGATGTTTTCAAGTCTCCATTTCCATTCGTTGATTAGCTGGGCCACATCCTTCATGGCATGTAAAGCAGCTTCCACATCCTTGAAATACCTGAGGAAGAACAGAAATGGAAGAGGGCTGAAAGGTGGAGAGCAGAGAAGCGCTGGGAGCCTCCTGGAACCACATGTGGAGCTGCTTCCCTCTGGGACTGTGCCACTGGCCTGTCAATTCCTTCACCTGTCAATGCACACCCCCACCTTCTCCATAAGTGCCACACACGGCAGCATGTAATATCCTATTTCTGTCCTCTTCCCTCATCTCAACAATAGCTTGTGAGAGCAGGGATGGTTTTACTCTGTGTTGTCACCCCAGTATCTATAGTAGTGCCCAGCTCACCAGGAGTACTCAACAAACTGGCTGACCCAGGGTGTGAGGAGCCCCCTGGCTGTCCTTTCTCCCTCAGCAGCCTCCTACCTGTGCTGGGGGTGGGTATACTTGAGCAGCTTGGCCAACTGCAGTGGGTACTTGCAGATCTTCTGCACTGGGATCAGCAGGAAGCTATTGAGGGAGATGTCAGTCATCTTTTGCAGCAGCCAGCAGGCCTCACGGAAATACATGTACTGGCTGAGCTTGGTGAGCCAGGAGAGCTCCATGCTTGCGTTGGGATGGTTGTTGGAATACTCTGAGTAAATCTGGAAGTTTGCTTGCTGTGGAGCACAACTGGAAGTTAGGGTGGTTGTCTCTCCAGCAGGCACCTAACATGTGTTGGGAGGAAGGGAGTGGGAGCCTCTGCATTTCCTTCAGGAGCTGCACTCAGGGGGCCCAAGCTCTACAATAGTATTGGCCCAAGCTATGGTGCGTCATGCCCAGGGACACAACCTCTGAAAACTCTAGCATGTACTATCCTTGTCACCATCAGGCTTTCTCAGCAGGACCCTCAGCATATAACTTTGACATACAGTAAAAATACATATATTTTTTGGATGAAATCAAGGATGCTAATAAGGAAGGCCAAAAAGGAGAGAGAGAGGGTGAGAGAGGAAGAAAGAGGAGGAGGAAGGAAGGGAGGGAGGGAGAGAGGGAGGCAGGGAGGGAAGGAGGGAGGGAGGGAAGGAGAGTGGGAAGGAGGGAGGGAGGGAGGAAAAGATTAAATGGATGTCAGTCCATGGCTGTGCCACCTGAGTTTTCATTCTCAGCCCAGTGCCCTGCTTCTTCCTCACAAAAGTTCTGGCCTCTTTCTTTCCCTTTTTTTTTTTTTTTTAAGCCTCATCTACCTGGAGCCAGAGAAAGGCCAGGTCTGCCATGTAGTGACCTATGACATCATGGACTTAGGTGAGCAAAGAGGATAACAGCTGCTGGCTGGTGATGGGTTGCTGTGATACTCACACTAGGTGATGTTAATAAATTGCTTGTTCCTATCCCTCTAGTCACAACACTGCCTGCTGAATAACTGGACCCCGATCCCATACTCACTCTAGTGCTTAGACCCAATCTACTCCTGTGCATGGACAGACCAAGGTCTCCCTTCCCAGTTCTCCTGCCATTGGAGAGAGGTTGGCAGGGTCTTCCAACCCCCTACAGGTAACCAGGAAGGAACCCACATTGTCCCCAATGGGCTGGACTTGACATCCTCTGCTCACCCCAACAACTTTCATAGGAGATAGATAAAACTTGTGCTTTCCCTATCAGACAAGGCCAGAAGGAAGGAGTCCATCTAACCAGTCCAGTGAACCTTGGCTAAATGCCAGTTGGCATTTGGAGTGTAAATAAACACTGTAAAAGACACATAAATTTGCTCACTGTATGAAGAACTCCAAAATTTGCTATGAACAGCCCACAGGATGCTCAAGAGGCAGCCCATCCTACTCCTGCCCTCTACTCTGGCCCAAGGAAATCCTGGGGCTGATCCCAAGCCCCCTGCTCCAAGGAGCCTTCTCTGACTTAATCTCCCACAGAACTAGGGACACTTCTAAAACAATGTTGAAGGATGAGGGCATTTGGGCAGGTGAGGGAGTGGAACCTAGAAGATTCCTGGAAAAGAGTAACATGTTGCCCGGCCTTTAGCCTGCAGGGCAACTTCTGAGCAGGCAGGTGGGCCGGGGCAGCAGGCAGGCAGAGGAGCCTCCAGCACAGGTGGGTGGGCAGGGCCAGATGCAGGTGTGCTCATGTGCTCTAGGAAGCAGGCACCCAGCTCGCTCAGGTGGGGGCACTCCGTGTTGAACTTCTGCTCCAGTGCCTTCACGAAGGCCTTATGGCACCCGTAGATGTCCTCGATGTTCCCAAAGATGGTGCGTAGCTGCTCCTCACTGAACATGTTGGTGCGTTTGTGACACTGCCTGATGTAGCCCTGGGGACAGGGTCCAGCGGTCAGGTCCCTCCTCAACCCCACCGCACCGCAGAGGGCCTCACCTCGCAGCTATCCCGTAGGTGCTTGATATAGTCCCACTCCCTGCTGAGGATCTCGTTGATGACTGTGTGCATCTGGTTCCTGCTGCTACTTCGAGCCTCAGCTCCACCATTGCCTGCCCTTGTCCCAGGGCTCATCCTGGTTCACCCACAGCTGCAGGCAAGGCGGCCAGTCAGTGCCAAGCAAGGGTCGATGCCTCGCATGCCTGCGGCTGTGTAGTAACTGGGGCTCTGAGAGCTGTTAGGGCACACAGGGACAAGCTCCCACCACCCTCGAACAATGCTCATCTGGACAGGGGGACTACAGGTCCGATGACCATTGCAGTTGTCAGTGACATCTGAGACCATGTCTCCTCCGAAGGGGCTCTGCTTACATTTGGCTTGTGCTGGACACAGGGCTTGGAATAAAGGATTGCCCACTACAGTTTCTGAACCGTGCTTGCTCATACTGGGCTCTTTATCTGTAGAGACCAGGAGAGAAGTGGATGGTTATGTGGCCATGTTGGCTCTCTGACCCATAACTAGGAAAGGCTTGGAGTACACCACAGACAGTTGATCTAGGGCAGTGGTCGGCAAACTGTGGCTCGCGAGCCACATGCGGCTCTTTGGTCCCTTGAGTGTGGCTCTTCCACAAAATATCACGTGCGGGCGCGCACATACAGTGCGATTGAAACTTCGTGGCCCATGCGCAGAAGTCGGTATTTTGTGGAAGAGCCACACTCAAGGGGCCAAAGAGCCTCATGTGGCTCGCGAGCCGCAGTTTGCCAACCACTGAAATCTGGGCAGGGATGACAAACTGAATTCCAGGGCCTGGGATCTCCCCTCCCTACTGCCCTCTGCTGGCCTTTTGGAGTCTGCACCTGGATTCCTTCCTTAGAGACTAAAGGCCTCCTTAGGGAGAATCTGGGTCCTTCCCTGTGAACTATTGGGCTAAGGACTTAACTTGTCCATGCCTCAGGTGTAAGTGAAGTTTTCAGCTTGCAGGGCTGTTGTGAAAGTTATAAGTAAGAGGATCCAGGTGAATGACCTGCACGGTGCTTAATAAATACTTGGTAAACCCAGTTGTTTGTGGTGGTGTTCTGACATGCAGGTTCCCCTTGGAGGGATCCATACACCTTCATTTCTGACCTATTCCTCTCTGGCTACTGAGGGCCCCCTGGAGGGAGGGGTGGGAGAAGGGGGTTGGAGTTAGTGACAGCTCTGCTGGAGGTGGACTGTTCTTCATGACCCCCACCCACCCAATCCACAGCCGTGAATGGGAAGTCCATGCCCAACACTAGAGCAGTTTCAGGCTTGAGTTTCTGAGCAGAGTCAGTTGGCTCTTTATGGGCTTTGGAGAAGCTCACGCCAGTGCCATACCCACACGAAGCTAGCTGGAAACCAGCCCTCCCCATCAGTGACATGGCCCTACCACCACTCTCTGTTGGTGGCATCCATTACTTCAATGGCATCCCCAGCTTTGAAGCCCAGTTCCTGGTTATCCATGGTGACATGGTCCCAGAGTGCTTCAGCACAGACCACACTGCCATTGCTGATGAGCTGTGGAGAGAACCATGGACAGGCAGATCAGTGGAGTAAGGCTGCCATGGACCTCATGGGGCAGGATGCTCCTGCCCTCTGCACCCCACCCCTCAGCAGCCCTGGGAAGAGGAGATCCTGACTCATATCACAGAGAAGGGGATGGAGCCTCCCTCGAGCCAGCTACTCTTTGGGGGCCAGGGCTATGCCCTAGGCATGTCTAGACTGGCAGGGCTCATGATGCAGACTGAAGTGAACTTGACCACTAGGATCTTGGTGAGCCACAGAATCTGAAAGTCGAGCATGTCCTTGTATAGGACACACCTGCCTCCCATCTCGATTTGGCCAGTGGTTAAACTATTGTCTCTCAGCTTCATCTGTCATCTCTGCTCTGTGATACTGGGGCTAGGACACTTCAAGCTGCATTTCTGCTGTGCCAGCTATTCCCTGTTAGGTTCTCCTAATATGACATTGGAGGGGACCAAAAAGCTGCCCCCTCCTGCTGTGTTCTTGTGGACTTGCAGTACCTGTCAGGTCACCTACAAGCAACAATGCTGCTTCACTCAGGTATAGCGGTGCCCAGACATTGCAGCAGCTGGATCCCATTTGCAGTGTTTTTTGAACACTTGCAGAACCAGTCTCATGGCATTCCCCTCCTCGCCACCCCCACCCCCCATCAATACCAGCTGAGCAGCAACCCTCCTCAGAGTTCTAGGTCCTACACCCACAGAATTTTCAGTTCTAATTGTTCCAACCTCTTTCCTTTATTCCCTAGGTCTAGGAAAGACAGGTACATATTGCTCCCTCTGCAATAGATACTTCAAGATTGTTCTTGTGCAGTTGGTTAATGAGTCAGACACTTTATATATGGCTAACACTCTGTGTATTAATTTCCATCTGCTGCAATAATTGGTGTGAATCTATCTTCCTGCATGGTCATTGACCTCACATCAGGAGGTCCAGACGGTGTGCATGGACCTCACCTAGAAATGCAGGCAACCCTTGTGCTCCCAGCTCCATTTGCCATTGAGCTGACACCTGTTTTCCTGGAATGTGGGTCCAGTTTCTGCTCCTTGAATAATGAATGTCTCTGGGAACTTAGGGCAAGAGGAGGTATGTTCTAAGGATTGCATGGGAGGTGAGGTCCATGCCCCTCTCTGTTGGGACCAAGTGTGGCTCTGGTTTTCACAGTCATGGGCTGGCTCTTTGGCTAAGAAGTTAAGACCTTGCCCTGGCCAGTTGGCTCAGTTGGTTGGAGCATCATCCCATACTCCAAAAGGTTGCAGGTTCAATTCTCAGAGCACTACCTAGGTTGCAGGTTCAGTCCCCAGTCAGGGCAACAAGAGGCAACTGATCCATGTTTCTCACATCAATATTTCTCTCTCTCTCTCCCTCACTTCTCTCCTTTCTCCTCTCCTCTCCTCCCCTAAAACTATCCTTAATTCAGTCACTACAAATTCGGAGCAGCTGAGGTGTGTTATGACTAAAAAATATGTTTATTCCTTTAACCACACACCATCCAACCAAACCAAACACCTCAGATTCATTACTGCCAGATCATCATCGCAGCAACCACAGTGTTCAAGTCACTATTGAGTCTGTCACCATTAGGAGATTGTAGGCATGATTTTATCCCCTCAATATACATGTATTTTCTTTCCTTTTTCCCTCCCCTCCCCTCCCCTCCCCTTCCCTCCCTTCCCCTCCCCTCCCCTTCTCTCCTCGGCTTTCCTCTCTCTCTAAAATAAATGAACATATCCTCAGTTGAGTATTAAAAAAAAAATCAAGGCTTTGGGAGTCACCATACATGCCCTGTGAACTCAGCTGCCTGCTCTACCCTTCATGGGGTTGAGTTCCCCCTTGGCTTCAGGCCCACTGGGGCCTTCCCTGGGTGCTCCCAGGCAGTGTGCATGCTCATCCTCACATAGAAATGGGAGCTAAACATGTCCGAGCAGGAATGTGTAGGTCTTCACCTAAGTCCAGTTGCTGTCTAACAAGTGTTTACCATGCCCCAAATGGGTAGGGTGAGGGGTGGGCAGGCCACCTAGGCATGGGAGGCCACTCAGATTGGGCCTTTACTCCAAATAGGGCCTGAGCAAGCCCATTCAGAAACCACCAGTTCTTCATGATTTCTGAGAGTAAAACCTGCTCCAAACTCTGATGAAACCACTCCTGAGAATAATTCAGAGACTATGTGTACACCTGCTCTCACATGCAGCAGCCTCTCATGGGTGGCAGAGTCCTGAGGCCCACCCAGGGACCCAAGGCACAGAGCACTGGGCTATTCCTGGGAGGCTGCAAGTCTCCTTAAAGGACCATTGCACTTACCCAGCTAAAAATACTTACTATAGGCCCTTCTTCTGCAGAGATGCCTGGCCCCAGGATCAAGAGCTCCTGACTGCAATAGAGACAGGGTAAGATAAGAGGATTCAGCGAGGCCACATGAGAAGAGCCAGCCTGCTGCATGTAGGGTGCAGGCACTTGATGGGGCAACTTGCAGTGCACAATGTACACAAGCAGGCCACCACACCAGGCCTGGGGGTCTGGCCTGAGGACAAAAAAGAAGCAGAGTACTCAAAGGTGGTCTATATGAACCAATGAGAATGCAGGCTGCAGGTTAATGTCCCCATTCAGGGGCAGTGACCATGGGTTAGTATGAGCATCAGAACAGAGGGTATGTGTGACCACAAGTGACTTAAGCATCAGGACTGAGGGTCCATGTGACTATGGATGAGTAATATCAGAATAGAGGGCATGTTTGACCACTAGTGAGTTGAGCAATAGGACAGAGGGCACAGATGAGCGTGAGCATCAGGACAGAGAGCGTGTGACCACCAGCAAGCATGAGCATTATGACAGAGCCTGTGTGACCATAGGCACATATGTGCATTATGAAGATTTGTATGTTTTGAGTGATGAGTTACTGAGACAATGGAACTTCTTGGATAAACTGAGGTTTGGATCCAGCAGGTAACAGAACTTTTTGCTTAAGCTTTGTAGTTTTGATCCTGGAGAAGTGGGTGCTCTAAGACTCCCTCTTGCTGCACAGCCCCTGGAATGCACCTACCAGCACATATTCACATGCTCACTAGTAGATGCTACACTTTGATCTCCTGAGAAGAGGTTGTAGATTCTTTCTATCCTCAGTTCGCAACAACTGCACATATAAGTCTCCAGGACAGCATTCAGGCTGCCCTCACTGCTGGAGCCCAAGCAGGAGGAAGTAATGCTGACACACCCAACACAGTCCAGCTACACAGTTTCCCTTCCTAGGTTGTTTCTGCCTGATATTAACCAGATCAGGCATCTGCCCCTGCCCCAGCTTCCTTCAAGTGAGCCCTGAACTAAAGCCCCTCTTATATGGCCCAGTGCCTCCTCCCCTGTTTTATTCTGCCAGCCCTTACAGAGAGGCACAATTCTGCACAGGTGGTTTCCTACATAGCTGTGGGAAAGGGCACAGGTATAGCAGAGACACGGGGCTTCTGAGAGAGACCAGGATGCCTATACACTTTTTTAGACATGCCCCTATACCTGTACTTCCCAATCACCTGAAAGCCCTTGATGGTGGTGGTGTTGGAGGGGTTGGTCGCCTTTGTCACTTTCTTGTTCCAGCACCTTGCCAGCACAAGAGGCATCTGGTAGACACTCAGCCTGAAGCAACTCCCTTGATGTCCCTGTGCCTCAGTCCCCATGGATGCCTACAGTAAAAATGTGCTCCACATGGGTCACAAAGCTCTTGTGTAGATCCACAATGGGAGGCATTCTGTTGAATTATAGCAATGGCATTAACTGTGTATGTGATGTCACCAAGACAATGTAGTTCTGCCTGCTCTGAGAAGCATTCTACCTTCAGGAGAGCCTAGAGGCTACCTGGGCCTAAGCAGGGTGGGGTTCTGGGCAGAGGCCCTTCCTGGCCACTCTATTCAAGGTGCAGCTGCACGGAAGCCAAGATGACCCCGGCAGGCTGAGGGGGAGGATTAGGCTTACTCTTGGGCTGGCAGTGGGTAGAAGCTGGCTCTGAGGTATAGGATGTTTATGTGTGGCAGGTAGGGGACTGTCCTAGTGGAAGAACAAGTTCAAGACTGAGACAAGGAGTGACAAGGGGCAGGATCTCCTCCTGTGCCCCTGAGATTTTGATAGGCCTAGGGAAAGCAGGCTCTGCCTCAAAGTGCCCCTTGATGACCACCCACCATCCTTCCCACCCTGCCCCATCTCCTCCTCTCACATGTGCAGGCTGAGGTAGGATTGCAATGGACAATCTAGGAATGCAATTTGGCAGGCCTTTGAGCAGCCAGGGCTGAGGGCTGTTCAGAGTGCCACCTACAAGGGGTGGGGGCTCTGCCTGTAGTGGGTTGGGGCACGCTGAGACCACTTAAGACCGAAAATGGGAAAAGCTGGTAACATGTGAAGAAGAGCCCACTCATCTTCCACAGACATCTCTTAAACCTACACAGAAATGCATGTCCAGTTCCGCTCATACTTCAGTCACATAAGCAGTTTTCAGACAACCACAGCAGCCAAGGCCACAGCTACATACGGATCTCCAGTCACCCACAGAGATGCGCATTTTAGTCATACATACACACACTACAGATGACAGACGGAAGGACCCATGACACATGTGTCACCATACTCCCAGGCAGGCAGGGGCACCCTCCACAAGCGGCATCTGTTTGGGGCTTGCTGGGCTATAGCTTCACCACCTCCGGTCACTACGTTGGGAGTGGGCCTATACAGCTAGATGGGGCTAGGGGAGATGCGGGGTGCGGAGGGTGGGCAATGGAGGCGCCACTCACCAGGAGAAGCCCGGGGCGCCTGGCCTTGGCGGTCAGCAGAAGGCCAGCAGGAACACCAGCACGACGTTTATGAGGACGAGGAGCGCCAGCACGGCGAAGACCACCACACGTTGAGCGCCTGGTGGCAAGTTGCAGCACAGCACAGCACGCAGGGCGCTTCCTGGGGCCGCGGGGCGGTGCCGGGTCTGGGGCACCCTGGCCATAGCGACAACTCTCCGACTCTCCGTTGAGCGCCCGCCCAGAGAACCCCAGGAGCAGGGACAGCAGCAGGACCAGGAGCGGGGACCGCGCCCCCGCCCAGAGAACCCCAGGAGCAGGGACAGCAGCAGGGCCGGGACCGCGGGGGCGGAGCCGCGGTGCACTCAGACCGGCTTCTGCGCAGCCGGCTTGTGCGTGCCAGGGTGCCCAGCCCCGACAGAACCCAGCACCGAGGCGGAGTGGGCTGTAAGGGTCAAGCGGACTCAGGCGAGTGCAGATATTTGACCTTGGCGATTCGGTGGGATGGCTCAGGGAATCCAGACTGCCAAGCGCAGGAATGGTGGCTGTGGTGACTTGGGCTGTGGGGATGGGCCAGGGGTTTTGATTCTTAACTAACACCAAGAACTGCCCTTGGTCCCCCACTTCACAGATAAGTAAATGCAGCTCTGAAAGGTCAGGGAATTTGTGCAGCCATCAAATCACAGAGGAATATAGGGATGGCGGAGCTAGGATTTTAACTCTGGGCTGACTGAGGTTGATCCATGCTGAGGCACTTCAGGAAGGCCCTGACTCAGGATATCTCCTTACTGACCTTTTCCATCAGAGAATCATTTTGTTCCTGTAGGAAAGCAGCTGGCTTCTTCAGCTGCTATCCACCCCAAACCCCCAGTTTTATTGTTATAATTGACAAATAAAAATTGTATATATTTAAAATGTACACTTGATGTTTTGATATAGGTATACATTGTGAAATAATCACCACAATCAAGCTAATTACCATACCCATCACCTCACATAGTTAACCATTTTATATGTGTGGTGACAACATTTAAGATCTATTGTCTTAGCAAATTTCAAGTGTGTAATACAGTGATTTGAGGGGTTTTTTATTGAGCAGGGTACAAGGGTGATTTCTTTCCCAGGTTCTTGTCCAGATGGATTTGAAGAATGAAGCCATGGACAAAAGGTGGTAGGTGAGAAGTACAGAAACTTTATTGCAAGCAGATGCTATCTCTAAAACTCCTAATTTTAAGCTTTCTAATTCTAAGACCATATCTCTCCTGGCTAAGGAGAGACAGAGGGGTCCCCTAAAGGGGGTGGCCACTGCTTTCTTTGTCTTGAGGCATTGTCTGATTGGACCCTTCCCCAATTTAGGATCCCCATGCTTTCCTCATTGGCCACTCTGCAAAGGCTAAAGCCCACGTTGTGCCCCCCTCCTTCTTTCCCCTTGTTTTGTAACAGTCCTCTACCCTCTGTGGAAATAAGTTTCCTTTTCCCCGATATTCTGTGTCTTTTCTTTGTCCTTCACATATCCATCTTATTTGTTTAAGCTGGAGTTACTTTTGATCTACCTTATGGTACCTAGCAACCTTATTCTGCCAAGTCTTGAGACTGAAAATGCTGGCTTCTCAGCTCAAAGAGTAAAATGGCCTCTCTCTCTCTCTCTCTCTCTCTCTCTCTCTCTCTCGCTCCTTCTCTCTCTCTCT